CAGGAGTCAAGGTCCGCCCTCTCTCGGGAACGTGCTCTTTGCCCTCAGCAATGCAACCAGTCAGTCTGTGGGGCCTGCGCCAGTCCACGGGTTGTTCTGCTGAAGAGAGGGGCAGCCGTGTTTGCCTCCGTCTCGGAGTGCCTGCACGCCTCTGCTCAGTGTAGCTTCTGGCGCGTTTCGCGTCAGTGCCCGCCCGTCCCTCGACGTGGAGGGCGACCCGAGAGCGCAGGCCCGCCCACGCTCTGGTTCGATTTCTGCAGGCCTGAGGAGCAACGTCGGTCAGCCGTGGCCTTTGCCTAGAGACCCAGTTGCTTCTCATGCGCGGCGCACAGCTCTGCTGTGTCCCAGCATGCCTGACCGCACAGCGTGGCCATGCCAGCTGCCGTGCGTGCTGAGCCGCTTCGACTGCTTGGTGCGGTCACCCGCTTGCCTCGGCTGAGGCGGTTGATTGCTCTCGGCATTCGGGCGATATGCGTGTGTGCGCCGAGGCGCACGAGACCGATCGTTGCCACCGCAGGGCCATAAAGAAACGCCTCGGTCCGAGGGGCAGTACGAGCTAGGCGCTCTTGACCTTTTCAGACGCAGGGATCATCATCATCATCAGCATCATCATCATCATCACCATAATCATCATCACCATCATCATCCTCATCATCATCATCATCATCATCATCCTCAGCGTCATCATCATCATCATCATCATCATCATCATCATCATCATCATCATCATCATCTTCACCATCATCATCATCATCATCATCATCATCAGATTCCCTCTCGTCCTGCTCATCCTCCTCCTCCTCCTTCTCCTTCTCCTCCTCCTCCTCCTCCTCCTCCTCCTCTTCGGCCCCGCCCCTTATCCTTCTCCCCTCCGTGTTCCCCGTCCTCCGGCGAGGAAGGGCAGGGGGAGGACGATGAGGGAGGAGGAGGAGGAGGAGGAGGAGGAGGAGGAAAGCGAGGAGGAGGAGGAGGAGCAGGAGGAGGAGGAGGGGGAGGAGGAGGAGGAGGAGGGGGAGGGAGGAGGAGGGGAGCGGGAGGGGAGAGGGAGGCGGAGGAGAGGAAGAGGAGGATGATATCGAGGAGGAGAGAGGAGGAGGATGAGGAGGAGGAGGAGGAGGAGGAGAGGAGGAGGAGAGGAGAGGAGGATGAGAGAGGAGGAGGAGGAGGAGGAGGAGGGGATGGGGAGGAGGAGGAGGAGGGAGGATTGGGAGGGGGAGAGGTAGGAGGATGAGGAGGGAGGAGGAGGAGGAGAGGAGGAGGAGAGAGGAGGAGGAGGGGGATGAGGAAGAAGGGGGTAGGAGGAGGTCGAGGAGGATGAGGATGAGGACACCGATCAGAGGGAAGAGAGTGAGGATGAGAATGATGAGAAGGGATAGGACGAGGGATAGTGCATAGGGCATAGGGGGTAAGATAATGAGGAGGACGAGTGAGGATGTGGAGGGAGGCAAGGATGAGCAGAAGGATGAGGATGGAGAGGGAGATGAGGAGGGTTAGGAGGATGAGGGAGGCAAGGAGAAGAAGGGATCGGACGATGAGAATAATGAATGAGGATGAGGAGGGAGATTGGGCATGAGGATGAGGATGGACAGGAGGATTGGGACGAAGAGGAGGGGGAGGAGGAGGAGCATCAGGAGGAGGTGCAGGGATAGGAGGACGAGGAATATGAGGGGGATGAGGAAAATGAGGAGGATGAAGGGCGAGAGCGAGAGGAGGATGAAGATGAGGATGGAGAGGGGGATCCGGAGGATGAGTAGGGAAAAGGGGGAAGGGGGAGGAGTGGCGGGGTGGCGGGCGCCACCGCGGCGCCGCGGGCCCCCCTATCTGGCAGGATGGCGCCTCTGAGGCCCCGCGGGCCCCCCTCGGGGCTTCTCAGAGCGATTTAGCCCTGGGATTAATGTCGGGGGAGGCAGTTTTAGCCCTCGGAGGCAGGAGCCCTGCGATTTAGCCCTGCGATTTTAGCCCTCGGAGTTAGTGTCAGAGCGGTTTAGCCCTGCGATTTAGCCCTTGGAGGCAGTTTTAGCCCTGGGATTAGCAGGAATGGTGTCGTCCGGGAGGTCTCCGGGAGGTCGGGCCCATGGAGGCGGGACCGTGTACACGTATTCAAGTGTTGTGCTGTTGCAGGTTTCCATTCTCGGGAACGGACGCCCGGAGGTCTGGGTTTGGGAGGTGCCCAGGAGGTCCGCCCATGCGAGACGGCAATCCCAATGATCGAGGACATGAGTTAGAAGTCTATGCAAGTTGTTGAGGTGTCGTCTTCCCAGCCCCGACGGAGCTGGGGCGCATTTCGGACCGTCCACCCCGTGACCCTGACCTTCCAGGAGGGCTAAAAACATGGCACCCGACTTAACAGCCCATCCCAGAGCTAATTCTACGTCTTGGTTCTGGGCTGTTTCCCTCAGCTTTTTAGGTATTTAGGCCTCCAGTGCTAAAAGATAGCTCTCTGGAAGGCCAGGGGAGAAATCGCGTCGGGCGAGGGGCGCGAGCAGCCCGGGATGCTCTCCAGGCGCTGCGCCTCGCCGCGACGGCGTGCCGCGGGTGCCCGGGGTCGCCGTGGGCGGCCGGTGTCCTCTCTATGCAGTGGCCCCGGGGAGTCCGCAGGGGGGCCCTTCGGCGCCGCAGAGGCGCCTTAGGGGGGGCCGCTGCTTCTGTCGGAGGCGTCGTCCCGCCTCGGAAGCGTCGCTCTCTCCTCCCCCCCTCCCTGTTTTGCCTTTCTCATCCCGTGAGTCCTCCTCCTCGCCGTCCGCACCTTCATCCTCGTCCTTCTCGCCCTTCGCATCTTCTCATCCCTCATCCTCCTCATCCTCCTCGCTGCGCTCATCCTCCTCATATTCCAATCCCTGCTCCTCTTGCTCCTCCTGCTTCTCCTCCTCCTCCTCCTCCTCCTCCTCCTCCTCCTCCCAATCCTCCTCTCCGTCCTCATCCCCACATTCCTCTCCCTCCTCATACTCGTCTCACTCCTCATCCTCCCCATGCTCCCATTTCTCCTTTTCCATTCCGTCATCCTCATCATCTTCCCATTCCCATCCTCATCTTCGTCTCCCTCATTATGCCACATGCCCTATCCCTCCTAACCCTCTTCCTATCCATCCTCCCCCTCGTGTCCCTTCTCATCCTTCTCCATCTCCTCCTCATCGTCCTCGTCATTCCCTTGCGCGCATCCTCCTCTCCCTTCTCTTCCCCTCCCCCTCCCTCCCCTCGTCTTCCCCCTGCCCTGCGTGAGGAGGACGGGGGGGAGGGCGAGGAGGAGGACAATGGGGGCGGGGCCGAGGAGGAGGAGGAGGAGGAGGAGGAGGGGGAGGAGGGGGATAATGGGAGGAAACGATGAAAAAAATCGCCCACCCCCCCACCCCACCCGGACCCCCCAAAATGATTGGGTGGGCGGACTAATAGAATTCAGCCGCCGGAAACTGTTCTTTTAATCGTCCGCCCCCTGGCGTTTGCTTTTGCCCTTTTGGGGGAACTGATTTTCTTTTGGTCCTCCTTCGCTCGCTTGTTCACCCGCGGCCGCGGGGGGAGGATTGCGGAGGGGGGACGGGGTAATTAGGGAAGGGGTTTTCGAAGAGGCGCTTGATCACCCTCGTCCTTGCGGACGGCCGCCGGTCGTCCTTGCGGACGGCCGCGGCGATTGGGAGGTGGGGGATGAGGAGGAGGAGGAAGAGGAGGAGGGGGGAGGACAAGCTAGGTGCGCTCGCGTCACATATGACAGCCTACCCCTCCCTCCCATCCCTTACCATGGCGTAGATCCCCTCTCTACTCGCACAGTTGGATGTCGAGCAGGGCAATGATCCCGAAAGGGTACGCGATGCATTGTAGATCACGGCATGGCAGAGCGTTGAAGAGCACCGCAAAGCGTAGTATGTCACAGCATGGCGTGTCGTGGCGTGGTGCAGAATTGCATCACAAATCTTTGCAACGCAAAGCATGGCATCGCACAGCGACCCCGAACATAACATCGAGGAGGAAAGGGGAGGCGAGACAACGAGAGGGCCGCCTTCGTCCTTGCGGACGGGGGGGGGGAAGAGGAGGACGAACAGGAGGAGAACGAGGAGGAGGAAGCGGAGAAAAAGGAGGAGGAGGACGATGACGAGGAGGAGAAGGACGAGGAGGAGGAGGAGGAGGAGGAGGAAAAGGAGGAGGAAAACGAGGACGAGGAGGAGGAGGAGGAGGAAGAGGAGGAGGAGGAAGAGGAGGAGGACGAGGAGGAGGCGGAGGAGGAGGAGGAGGACGAGCTCGCCCTGAAAAGTCACCCCGTCCACCTCCCTGGCCCCCGCGCCCTGGATCGCCCCCCCGTGCCCCCCCCCCCTTGGCCTTCCAGGCAAACCCGAATTGTCAGCCCCCGGTCTGCCTGCCCTGCCCCCCGCTATTGCGGGGGCGAGGAGGCCCGCGAAACAATTGTTCTAATCGTCCGCCCCAGAAAGTTGTTTTTAATCGTTTCCCCCATTAGAGACGCGCTAGTGTTGCAATATTGCTGCTAATATGACCGACGGCGTTGGCGCTAACACCGACGCAAGCCACCGACGCCGTACGGTTGCCATGCAACATTATCTCATCTTCTGCGGGCAGTACTTATATCCATATCCAGGGCGTGTTGGACTTTTCGGGAAGAGGTGCCACAACGCCGAGGCGCACTGGATTTGGATAAAATCAAGCCTCTTGGGGCCAGATTTTTATCCGTATCCAGTGCGTCTACGGTTTCTGGGCAAGGGAGCCCAAGACTCCAAGACGCACTGGACGTGGATATAACTATTGCCCGCATCTTCATCTTCATCTTCGTCATCATCCTCCTCATCCTCTTCATCATCCAACTCCATCTTTATCCTCACATGCATCCTCGTCAGCCTCTTTGTCCTGCTGCCGCTGCACATGCTTCCGCCTGGAGGGGGTCGAGGCGGCAGCGCCCCCCATTTCCCCTCCTCCCGCTCCCCCCCCCTTCCCCTCCTCGTCCCTGTTCCTTCCCCACATCCTCCTCCTCCTCCTCCTCCTCTTCCTCCTCCTCCCGTAGCCATTTTTTGGCTCAAGCCGTTTTTATCGAGCTCCTGCAGCTCAAGCAGGCAGGCCTTCGGGGGGGAGGCAGATCGTCTGGGGACTCCCGGACGAAGACAGTCAGCAGAGTCGTATAAAGATGGCGGCCGTGGAAGCCAAGTGGGATGTGAAGCAGATGGAGTCCGGAGATAAGGCGTGGTCGCAGCGGACTGGCCCAGAGAAGGTCCTCTTCGTGATCATCCAGGTGCTGAAGGTGGTGATGGCGGTGGGGCTTCTCTACATCTTCCTCATCTCCCTGAGCATGATGGGCAACGCGTTCAAGGTCATCGGAGGCCCCACCGCCGGGAAAGTCTTCCGGAACAACGCCATCTTCGACAACCCGTTCGCGGGCTGCTCCCTCGGGATCCTGGCGACGGTGCTAGTGCAGTCCTCGTCGACCAGCACCTCCATCATCATCACGATGACTGCGGCAGGCCTGATCGATCCCAAGAACGCCATTTACATGATCATGGGGGCGAACATCGGCACATCTGTCACCAATACAATCGTCAGCATGTCCCACATGGGCGACGTTGACCAGTACCGCCGGGCGTTCGCGGGCGCAACGGTGCACGACTGCTTCAATCTGTTGACAGTGACCATCCTGCTCCCGCTCGAATACTTCACTCACATGCTCTACCACATCGGCAGCGCCCTCGTCGAGTCCGCCGGCATCGAGGAGGACCAGGAAAAGCAGGAGAAGGTCGACTTCATCAAGAAGCTCACGAAGCCGGTCACCTCTCGCCTGATCTCTGTGGACAAGAAGTTGGTGACCAAGGTCGCGCAGGCAGACGACCAGGAGACGCTGGACGGCCTGCTGGCACAGTCGATCATCCAGAACAAACGTACCCTTGACAACCATATGTTCCTGGACACCCCCCTGAGCGACGAGAGGCCTGGGTGGCTGCTGCTGGTCATCTCCCTGGTGATGCTGTCCACCACGCTTATCCTCCTGGTCAAACTGCTGCAGACGATCTTCCGGGGCCGCGCCGCTATTTGGATGCAAGGGCTGCTGAATTTGGAGTTCAAGACGGTGCCCTTTGTGGCCGACTACATCCTCATCCTCTTCGGTGTGGGCATCACCATCCTCAACGGGAGCAATGTGATTCAGAGCAGCTGCATAAAAACAACCTCGACAGCTACGCGCTCGTCGGAATCGGCCCATCAAGCTCGACAAGATGTTCCCGTTCACCGTCCGTCGCGAACGTGGGCACCACTCGTCACGTGGCATGCTGTCTTCGCTGTGCGGCTCGAACGTCGCGACGCTGACGGTTGCGTTTGCGCACCTGTGTCTTCACCTCATCGGGAGGCTCATTTGTTCCCGATCCCTGCTGCGCGCCGTGCGCTCACATGCCACTGCATTGGGTATCGTGGGCCGGCCGACGCTGCGCTGGTTTCCCTGTCGCCAGTACACTCGTCGTCGTCTTCGATCATTCCCGGCCCTGCTCCTGGGGCTGTCCCTGATGCATTGGGCGGCGCTCGTGTTCGTGGGCCTTCCGATCCTGCTCCTGCTGATCGCTGGGTCTTGCGTCTTCGGCATGCGCGCCTACCACCCGGAGCGGCTGCCTGCGGTGCTCAAGAAGGACTTCTCGTTCATGCCGCCCAGCATGAAGATGGCCACCGCGGACGGCGAGGGTCAGTCCGCCGCGGTGGAGGAGTCGAACATCGGCAGTACCGACATCGGTGGCGCGAGGCAGTGGTGGCTGGCGCCCTGTGCCTACGGGCTCGGCTGGTACTCGATCCTGGTGAAGTTGATCTTAGGGTTGTAGTTATCGAGCAGATGCGAGAGTGAGCAGAATGCGATGGCGTCCGATTTCGCCGAAGTTGTCCGACATGTCCTCACGCGTCCTTCGACTCCCGGGACCACGTCGGCATCGGCGCCTGGAGCGCATGCTCCGCCATGTTCGCGGAGGAGGTGGGCTGGGCCCCGAGCCCTCTCACGGGCGCGGACCTCGATGCGCACCTCGCGACGTGCATGGCTGACCTCAGCTCCGCCTGCGCCGACCAGAGCGACTTCTCCACCGTCCTGGGCGCCAACACCGTCTATGAGGAGTCGTGGCAGGGGTGCACGGACGCCACGACGGGTGACTGGCTGAGTGAGTGCGAGGCGCTGACTGGGTGTGGCGACCTGCATGCGACGCAGTGCGCCAACGTGTCCGCCGCGGTCACCCGAACGTACAGCATCGACTACAGCCAGTCTGGCACCAAGTGGGCCGCGGCCCCAGCGTCGTCCTGCAGCGCGGACGCCTTGCCGAAGGCCTGCTGCATCCCGCTCGGCGACCTCTGCACGGACGTCGGCGGCCTGACGGCCGCGGGCGGCCTGAGCGTTGCCGGGATCGTCTTCTCCCTTTTGGGGATGGCGGCGATGCTCGCGTACCTCGCCAGGGGGGACAAGCGGGACATGCGCAAGGTACTCTGGGGCACCGCCGCCGCCTTCGGCGTGGCCTGGGTCCTCCTGCTCGCTGCGTGGACTATCGGCCTGAGCGCGCTGGGGCAGGAGACGACGTGCTGGGTCCAGGACGACCAGAACGACGGCATCGTGGCGGCCAAGGGCAAGCTCGGGGACATCGGGAACGGCGTCGGCTACGGGCTCGGCTACATCATCGGGGGCTGGGTCCTGCTCAACCCGATCCTCGCGATCACGGCGCTCCGCATCGTGGCCGACGTGAAGGCCGGCCCCCCGCAGAAGGAAGAGGCGAGCGAGGACGATGCGGCCAAGGTCTCGACCATCTGAGCACGTGACGGCGCGGATGATCCGTCGTGTGATCCCGCCTCCACCAGCCCGCGCCTCTCTCTCTCTCTCTCTCTCTCTCTCTCTCTTTCTGGAGGAGTTGCCCTACTTCCAGCCCCCCATGTTCACGCCCTGCCTGCTGTGCCAGGGATTTTTGCACCCAGGATGTCCGCAGGATGTCTCAATAGATGGTGTCTTCTCAAGTCTCGAAATTTGTCGTAACACTCAGCGCCCTCGCGCTGCCCCCCAGACACCGCAGGGGGGCGCTCGCGTGCCATTTTTGCACCCGCAGCGCGACAGCGTCGCTCGCAGCCGCCCAGGCTAGGGATGGAGGGGCTCCCCCGCATCTGCAGGCCACGAGCCCAGATCCTGGGGCGGAGCGGCGCTTGCACAATACGGCAATCGCTCGCCATTCGAGACAATGCAGTGACAATACGACAATACAATGCACAATACGACGGTCGCTTGTACAATACGACAATACAATGGCGCTGTCGTAGTGATGCGGGAGGCTTGGCCTGGTGCCGCACCCTCACACCGTGGCCGCCAAGCCATGCCTCTCCAGCGCAAGTGTTTCAGTTTCGTGTTCGCGTTCGCCGTGCGCCCAAAGCGGCTGCGATTCGCAACGATCGAGCAAGTTAGGTATCACGGCCCCTGGAGTGCGCTTGTACAGTGATCTGCCAGGTCGCTGGCCTGCAGGAGGAGGACCAGCAGCTGCGCCCCCCCCCCCTGGCGTTTCCGCCGCCGTCGTCGCGGTGCCGCCGCTTCGTCGCCGCCATCTCGTCACGTCGTCGCAGTTGCGGCCGCGGCCGCCGGCGTTGCCGCCGTCGGGTCGCGCGCCGCCGGCATGCCGTGCCGCCGTGCTTGTCGCCACCGTTGTCCGCCGGCGCCCCATTCGTCGTCGTCGTCGTGCCCAGCCGGCAAGAGCCGCCCAGAACCGGACCCCATGCCCATCCCGGGTTGTTCTCCTACCAGCGCCTCGAGCTGGGTTTCTGGTCCACTGGAACGCGTATCTGTAATCCCCTGGCGATAACGGGCGTGACCAGGGGGGGAGCGAGGGAGCGGGGAGGGACGTGTCACGTCGCGATTCGCGCAGGGGCCGTGTGAGAATGCTGCAGAATGGCGAAGTCTCAGACGGCGCGCGAATCGTAATGTGACCAGGAGGGGGGGAGGGGTGCGGACGGGGCTGGACAGGGGCGTTGTCACAAACTGCTGGCAACAATCCTGTGGTGTTGGGTCCTCGTCTTGAAATGGCAGCGCATCGCGTCCTTCAACCCTCCGCCTCTCCTCCCCCGGATCCTACCATCCCTGCCTCTGCCCCCTCCGCGTGCCCATTCCAGCACACCCCTCACATTCTTCGTGGCCCCATGAGGGAGCCCCAACTAAGGCCCAAATGCCAGCGTTCGAGTGGTGCACCCGCACTCGATTCGGCAGATCACTCACACGCTTCGCGGCCCCAGGGAGCCCCAACTAAGGGCCAAATGCCAGCGCTCGCATGGCGTACCCGCACCCGATTCGGCACACCCTTCACACGCTTCGTGGCTTCATAGGGAGCTCCAACGAAGGCGTTCGCATGGCGCACCCGCACCCGAATCGGCACATCACTCACACGTTTCGCAGCTGCAGGGAGCTCCACCGGAGGCCCTTGTGGCTGCGTTCGCATGGCACGCCCTTCACACGTTTTGCGGCCCCAGGGGGAGCTCCACCGAAGGCCCCACTGGCTGCGTTCGCATGGCGTGCCCGCCCCCGAATCAGCGCACCGCTCGCACGCTTCGTGGCCCCATGGGGAGCTCCGCCGAAGGCCGCATTGGCTGTTCGCGTGGCGGCACACCCCTCACACGTTTCGTGGCTCCATGGAGAGTTGCCCCTCTTTCGTCCCACCTGCCTTGCGGCACGCGCCATCGTCATCGTCATCGTCATCATCGCCATTCATCGTCATCGTCATCGTCATCATCGTCATCGCCTCCGTAGCCATTTTGGCCCAAGCCGTTTTTATCGAGCTCCCGCAGCTCGGGCAGGCAGGCTTTCGGGGAGGCAGATCGCCTGGTGACTCCCGGACGAAAACAGCCAGCAGAGCCGTACGAAGATGGCGGCCGTGGAAGCCAAGTGGGATGTGAAGCAGATGGAGTCAGGAGACAAGGCGTGGTCGCAGCGGACCGGCCCAGAGAAGGTCCTTTTCGTGATCATCCAGGTGTTGAAGGTGGTGATGGCGGTGGGGCTTCTCTACATCTTCCTCATCTCCCTGAGCATGATGGGCAACGCGTTCAAGGTCATCGGAGGCCCCACCGCTGGGAAAGTCTTCCGGAACAACGCCATCTTCGACAACCCGTTCGCGGGCTGCTCCCTCGGGATCCTAGCGACGGTGCTAGTGCAGTCCTCGTCGACCAGTACCTCCATCATCATCACGATGACTGCGGCAGGCCTGATCGATCCCAAGAACGCCATTTACATGATCATGGGGGCGAACATCGGCACATCTGTCACCAATAACAATCGTCCATCATGGTCCGCACATGGGCGACGTGGACCAGTAGAACCCCGCTGTGACCGCCGGGCCGTTCTCCGGCGCAAACGGTGCACGAAGACTGCTTCAATCTGTTGACGTGACCATCCTGCTTCCCGCCTCGGTACTTCAACTCACATGCTCCACTACATTGGCAGCGCCCCTCGTCGAGTCCGCCGCATCGGGAGGACCGGAAAAGCGGAGAAGGTCACTTCATCAAGAGCTCACGAAGCCTGTCACTCTCGCCTGATCTCTGTGGACAAGAAGCCTGGTTGACCAAGGTCGCGCAGCGGACCGACCGATGAGACGCCTGGACGGCCTGCTGGCACAGTCGATCATGCCATAACAACGCACTCCGTGACAACCACATTTTCCTGGACACCCCCTGGGCGACGAGGGCTGGGTGGCTGCTGCTGGTCATCTCCCTGGTGATGCTGTCCACCACGCTTATCCTCCTGGTCAAGCTGCTGCAGACGATCTTCCGGGGCCGCGCCGCGATTTGGATGCAGGGGTTGCTGAACCTGGAGTTCAAGACGGTGCCCTTTGTGGCCGACTACATCCTTATCCTCTTCGGTGTGGGCATCACCATCCTCATGCAGAGCAGCAGCATAACAACCTCGACGCTGACGCCGCTCGTCGGAATCGGGCTCATCAAGCTCGACAAGATGTTCCCGTTCACCGTCGGCGCGAACGTGGGCACCACCGTCACGGGCATGCTGTCTGCGCTGGCGGGCTCGAACGTCGCGACCGGCATGACGGTGGCGTTTGCGCACTTGTTCTTCAACCTCATCGGAGCGCTCATCTGGTTCCCGATCCCTGCCATGCGCGCCGTGCCGCTCACCATGGCCAGGGCGCTGGGTAGCGTGGCCGCCGACCTGCGCTGGTTCCCTGTCGCCTACATCTTCGTCGTCTTCGGGATCATTCCGGGCCTGCTGCTGGGGCTGTCCCTGATGCATTGGGCGGCGCTCGTGTTCGTGGGCCTTCCGATCCTGCTCCTGCTGATCGCTGGGTCTTGCGTCTTCGGCATGCGCGCCTACCACCCGGAGCGGCTGCCTGCGGTGCTCAAGAAGGATTTCTCGTTCATGCCGCCCAGCATGAAGATGGCCACCGCGGACGGCGAGGGTCAGTCCGCCGCGGTGGAGGAGTCGAACATCGGCAGTACCGACATCGGCGGCGCGAGGCAGTGGTGGCTGGCGCCCTGTGCCTACGGGCTCGGCTGGTACTCGATCCTGGTAATGCTGATGGCGGTGCCGAACGCCAAGTGGTCCGACAGAGTAAGCGTCCTTTCGACGCCGCTGGACCAACGTCCGGCATCTGCGCTGAGTCGCGTGCTCCGCTTTCGCGTGAGGAGTTCACGCTGGGCTCGGGGGGAGCCCTCTCAGGCGGGAGCTCGATGCGCCACCTCGCGCTCTGCATGGGCTGACCGCACTCAGCGCCGGCCGACCAAAGCTACCTTCTCCACCACCGTCCGGGCTCCACACCGTCTCGAAGAGTCGTGGAGGGGTGCACGACCCACGACGGGGCCTGGCTGAGTGAGTGCGAGGAGCTGACTGGGTGCGGCGACCTGCACGCGACGCAGTGCGCCAACGTGTCCGCCGCGGTCTCCCGAACGTACACCATCGACTACAGCCAGTCTGGCACCAAGTGGGCCGCGGCCCCAGCGTCGTCCTGCAGCGCGGACGCCTTGCCGAAGGCCTGTTGCATCCCGCTCGGCGACCTCTGCACGGACGTCGGCGGCCTCACGGCCGCGGGCGGCCTGAGCGTGGCCGGGATCGTCTTCTCCATTTTGGGGATGGCGGCGATGCTCGCCTACCTCGCCAGGGGGGACAAGCGGGACATGCGCAAGGTACTCTGGGGCACCGCCGCCGCCTTCGGCGTGGCTTGGGTCCTCTTGCTCGCTGCGTGGACCATCGGCCTGAGCGCGCTGGGGCAGGAGACGACGTGCTGGGTCCAGGACGACCAGAACGACGGCATCGTGGCGGCCAAGGGCAAGCTCGGGGACATCGGGAACGGCGTCGGCTACGGGCTCGGCTACATCATCGGGGGCTGGGTCCTGCTCAACCCGATCCTCGCGATCACGGCGCTCCGCATCGTGGCCGACGTGAAGGCCGGCCCCCCGCAGAAGGAAGAGGCGAGCGAGGACGATGCGGCCAAGGTCTCGACCATCTGAGCACGTGACGGCGCGGATGATCCGTCGTGCGATCCCGCCTCCACCAGCCCGCGCCTCTCTCTCTATCTCTCTCTCTCTTTCTCTCTGGAGGAGTTGCCCTACTTCCAGCCCCCATGTTCACGCCCTGCCTGCTGCGCCAGGGATTTTTGCACCCAGATGTCCGCAGGATGTCTCAATAGATGCTGTCTTCTCAAGTCTCGAAATTTGTCGTAACACTCAGCGCCCTCGCGCTGCCCCCCCGGACACCTCGGGGGGGCGCTCGCGTGCCATTTTTGCACCCGCAGCGCGACAGCGTCGCTCGCAGCCGCCCAGGCTAGGGATGGAGGGGCTCCCCCGCATCTGCAGGCCACGAGCCCAGGTCCTGGGGCGGAGCGGCGCTTGCACAATACGGCAATCGCTCGCCATTCGAGACAACGCAGTGACAATACGACAATACAATGCACAATACGACGGTCGCTTGCACAATACGACAATACAATGGCGCTGTCGTAGTGATGCGGGAGGCTTGGCCTGGTGCCGCACCTTCACACCGTGGCCGCCAAGCCATGCCTCTCCAGCGCAATTGTTTCAGTTTCGTGTTCGCGCTCGCCGTGCGCCCAAAGCGGCTGCGATTCGCAATGATCGAGCAAGTCAGGTATCGCGGCCCTTGGAGTGCGCTTGTACAGTGATCTGCCCTTCCAGGTCGCTGGCCCGCAGGAGGAGGACCAGCAGCTGCGCCCCCCCTCCCCCCCGGCGTTTCCGCCGCCGTCGTCGCGGTGCCGCTGGTTCGTCGCCGCCGTCTCGTCGCGTCGTCGCAGTTGCGGTCGCGCGCCGCCACCTGCCGTGCCGCCGTGCTTGTCGCCGCCGTTGTCCGCCGGCGCCCCGTTCGTCGTCGTCGTCGCCGTCGTGCCCAGCCGGCAAGAGCCGCCTAGAACCGGACCCCATGCCCATCCCGGGGCGAGCTGGATTTTCTGTCCACTGGAACGTGTATTTGTAACCCCTTGGCGATAACTGGCATGACCAGGGGGAGGGAGGGGGTGAGGGACGTGTCACGTCGCGATTCGCGCAGAGGCCGTGTGAAATTGCTGCAGAATAGCAAAGTCTCAGACGGCGCGCGAATCGTAATGTGACCAGGAGCGGGAGGAGGGGGGCAGGCGGGGCTGGTCTCGGGCGTTATCACAAACTATGCCAACAATCCTGTGGTGTTGGGTCCTCGTTGCGAAATGACGACGCACCGCGTCCTTCATTCCTCCGCCTCTCCTCTCCCAGTACACCCCTCACATTCTTCGTGGCCCCATGAGGGAGCCCCAAGTAAGGCCCAAATGCCAGCGTTCGCATGGTGTACCCGCACTCGATTCGGCTGATCACCCACACGTTTCGCGGACCCACAGAGAGCCCCAACTAAAGACCAAATGCCAGCGCTCGCAAGGCGTATCCGCACCCGATTCGGCACACCCTTCACACGCTTCGTGGCCTCATAGGGAGCTCCAACGAAGGCGTTCGCATGGCGCACCCGCACCCGAATCGGCACATCACTCACACGTTTCGCGGCCGCATAGGGAGCTCCACTGGAGGCCCTTGTGGCTGCGTTCGCATGGCTTACCCACATCTGTTTCGGCACACCCTTCACACGTTTTGCGGCCCAGAGGGAGCTCCACCGAAGGCCCCCCCGAATCAGCACACCTCTCGCACGCTTCGTGGCCCCATAGGGGAGCTCCGCCGAAGGCCGCATTGGCTGCGTTCGCATGGCGGCACACCCCTCACACGTTTCGTGGCCGTGGCTCCATGGCGGCAGAAGTTTGGCCCCTCTTTCGTCCCCACCTGCTTGCGGCACGGGACACACCCAAATCGTCATCGGTCAATCGTCATCATCGTCATCATCATCATCGTCCTCCTCATCATCATCAGTAGCCATTTTGGCTCAAACCGTTTTTATCGAGCTCCCGCAGCTCAGGCAGGCAGGCCTTCGGGGAAGCAGATCGCCTGGTGACTCCCGGACGAAGACAGCCAGCAGAACCGTATAAAGATGGCGGCCGTGGAAGCGAAGTGGGATGTGAAGCAGATGGAGTCCGAAGACAAGGCGTGGTCGCAGCGGACCGGCCCAGAGAAGGTCCTCTTCGTGATCATCCAGGTGCTGAAGGTGGTGATGGCGGTGGGGCTTCTCTACATCTTCCTCATCTCCCTGAGCATGATGGGCAACGCGTTCAAGGTCATCGGAGGCCCCACCGCCGGGAAAGTCTTCCGGAACAACGCCATCTTCGACAACCCGTTCGCGGGCTGCTCCCTCGGGATCCTGGCGACGGTGCTAGTGCAGTCCTCGTCGACCAGCACCTCCATCATCATCACGATGACTGCGGCAGGCCTGATCGATCCCAAGAACGCCATTTACATGATCATGGGGGCGAACATAGGCACATCTGTCACCAATACAATCGTCAGCATGTCCCACATGGGCGACGTGGACCAGTACCGCCGAGCGTTCGCGGGCGCAACGGTGCACGACTGCTTCAATCTTTTGACAGTGACCATCCTGCTCCCGCTCGAGTACTTCACTCACATGCTCTACCACATCGGCAGCGCCCTCGTCGAGTCCGCCGGCATCGAGGAGGACCAGGAAAAGCAGGAGAAGGTCGACTTCATCAAGAAGCTCACGAAGCCGGTCACCTCTCGCCTGATCTCTGTGGACAAGAAGTTGGTTACTAAGGTCGCACAGGCAGACGACCAGGAGACGCTGGACGGCCTGCTGGCACAGTCGATCATCCAGAACAAGCGTACCCTTGACAACCATATGTTCCTGGACACCCCCCTGAGCGACGAGGGGGCTGGGTGGCTGCTGACAACCATATGTTCCTGGACACCCCCCTGAGCGACGAGGGGGCTGGGTGGCTGCTGCTGGTCATCTCCCTGGTTTTGCTGTCCACCACGCTTATCCTCCTGGTCAAGCTGCTGCAAACGATCTTCCGAGGCCGCGCCGCGATTTGGATGCAGGGGCTGCTGAACCTGGAGTTCAAGACGGTGCCCTTTGTGGCCGACTACATCCTCATCCTCTTCGGCGTGGGCATCACCATCCTCATGCAGAGCAGCAGCATAACAACCTCGACGCTGACGCCGCTCGTCGGAATCGGGCTCATCAAGCTCGACAAGATGTTCCCGTTCACCGTCGGCGCGAACGTGGGCACCACCGTCACGGGCATGCTGTCTGCACTGGCGGGCTCGAACGTCGCCACCGGCATGACGGTGGCGTTCGCGCACCTGTTCTTCAACCTCATCGGAGCGCTCATTTGGTTCCCGATCCCTGCCATGCGCGCCGTGCCGCTCACCATGGCCAGGGCACTGGGTAGCGTGGCCGCCGACCTGCGCTGGTTCCCCATCGCCTACATCTTCGTCGTCTTCGGAATCATTCCGGGCCTGCTCCTGGGGCTGTCCTTGATGCACTGGGCGGCGCTCGTGTTCGTGGGCCTTCCGATCCTTCTCTTGCTGATCGCTGGCTCTTGCGTCTTCGGCATGCGCGCCTACCACCCGGATCGGCTGCCTGCGGTGCTCAAGAAGGACTTCTCATTCATGCCGCCCAGCATGAAGATGGCCACCGCGGACGGCGAGGGTCAGTCCGCCGCGGTGGAGGAGTCGAACATCGGCAGTACCGACATCGGTGGCGCGAGGCAGTGGTGGCTGGCGCCCTGTGCCTACGGGCTCGGCTGGTACTCGATCCTGGTAATGCTGATGGCGGTGCCGAACGCCAAGTGGTCCGACATGAAGTACGCGTCCTTCGACGCCCGGGACCACGTCGGCATCGGCGCCTGGAGCGCGTGCTCCGCCATGTTCGCGGAGGAGGTGGGCTGGGCTCCGAGCCCTCTCACGGGCGCGGACCTCGATGCGCACCTCGCGACGTGCATGGCTGACCTCAGCTCCGCCTGCGCCGACCAGAGCGACTTCTCCACCGTCCTGGGCGCCAACACCGTCTACGAGGAGTCGTGGCAGGGTGCACGGACGCCCACGAAGGGAGGACTGGCTGATGAGTGCGAGGGGCTGACTGGGTGCGGCGGGAACTGCACGTCGACGCAAGTGCGCCAACGGTCCGCCGCGGTCTCCCGAACGTAACTACCATCGAATACAAGCCAGTTCTTCCACCAAGGGGCTCGGCCCCAGCGTCGTCCTGCAGCGCGGACGCCTTGCCGAAGGCCTGTTGCATCCCGCTCGGCGACCTCTGCACGGACGTCGGCGGCCTCACGGCCGCGGGCGGCCTGAGCGTGGCCGGGATCGTCTTCTCCATTTTGGGGATGGCGGCGATGCTCGCCTACCTCGCCAGGGGGGACAAGCGGGACATGCGCAAGGTACTCTGGGGCACCGCCGCCGCCTTCGGCGTGGCTTGGGTCCTTTTGCTCGCTGCGTGGACCATCGGCCTGAGCGCGCTGGGGCAGGAGACGACGTGCTGGGTCCAGGACGACCAGAACGACGGCATCGTGGCGGCCAAGGGCAAGCTCGGGGACATCGGGAACGGCGTCGGCTACGGGCTCGGCTACATCATCGGGGGATGGGTCTGCTCAACCCGACCTTCCCCCCCCCCCCCCCCCCCTCTGATCACGCGCTCCGCATACGTGGCCGACGGAAAAAGGCGGCCCCCCCGCAGAAGGACGAGGCGAGCGAGGACGATGCGGCCAAGGTCTCGACCATCTGAGCACGTGACGGCGCGGATGATCCGTCGTGCGATCCCGCCTTCACCAGCCCGCGCCTCTCTCTCTCTCTCTCTCTTTCTTTCTGGAGGAGTTGCCCTACTTCCAGACCCCATGTTCACGCCCTGCCTGCTGTGCCAGGGATTTTTGCACCCAGGATGTCCGCAGGATGTCTCAATAGATGCTGTCTTCTCAAGTCTCGAAATTCGTCGTAACACTCAGCGCCCTCGCGCTGCCCCCCCGGACACCGCGGGGGGGCGCTCGCGTGACATTTTTGCACCCGCAGCGCGACAGCGTCGCTCGCAGCGCACAGGAGGGGATGGAGGGGTTCCCCGCATCGTTAGCAAGAGCCCGGATCTGGGCCCGGGCGGAGCGGCGCTTGCACAATACGGCAATCGCCTCACCATTCGAGACAAATGCAGTGACAATACGACAAACAATGTACAATACGACGGTCGGCTTGTACAATACGGACGATACAGTTGGCGCTGGTCGTAATGAGCGGGAGGCTTGGCCTGGTGCCGCACCCTCACACCGTGGCCGCCACGCCATGTCTCTCCAGCGCAAGTGCTTCAGTTTCGTGTTCGCGTTCGCCGTGCGCCCAAGGCGGCTGCGATTCGCAATGATCGAGCAAGTTAGGTATCACGGCCCCTGGAGTGCGCTTGTACAGTGATCTGCCAGGTCGCTGGCCTGCAGGAGGAGGACCAGCAGCTGCGCCCCACCCCCCCCTGGCGTTTCCGCCGCCGTCGTCGCGGTGCCGCCGCTTCGTCGCCGCCATCTCGTCACGTCGTCGCATTTGCGGCCGCGGCCGCCGGCGTTGCCGCCGTCGGGTCGCGCGCCGCCGGCATGCCGTGCCGCCGTGCTTGTCGCCACCGTTGTCCGCCGGCGCCCCATTCGTCGTCGTCGTGCCCAGCCGGCAAGAGCCGCCCAGAACCGGACCCCATGCCCATCCCGGGTTGTTCTCCTACCAGCGCCTCGAGCTGGGTTTCTGGTCCACTGGAACGCGTATCTGTAATCCCCTGGCGATAACGGGCGTGACCAGGGGGGGGGCGAGGCAGCGGGGAGGGACGTGTCACGTCGCGATTCGCGCAGGGGCCGTGTGAGAATGCTGCAGAATGGCGAAGTCTCAGACGGCGCGCGAATCGTAATGTGACCAGGAGGGGGGAGGGGTGCGGACGGGGCTGGACAGGGGCGTTGTCACAAACTGCTGCCAACAATCCTGTGGTGTTGGGTCCTCGTCTTGAAATGGCAGCGCATCGCGTCCTTCAACCCTCCGCCTCTCCTCCCCCGGATCCTACCATCCCTGCCTCTGCCCCCTCCGCGTGCCCATTCCAGCACACCCCTCACATTCTTCGTGGCCCCATGAGGGAGCCCCAACTAAGGCCCAAATGCCAGCGTTCGAGTGGTGCACCCGCACTCGATTCGGCAGATCACTCACACGCTTCGCGGCCCCAGGGAGCCCCAACTAAGGGCCAAATGCCAGCGCTCGCATGGCGTACCCGCACCCGATTCGGCACACCCTTCACAGCGTCGTGGCTTTCATAGGGCCGCCTTCCTTCTTTTTTTTTTTGCTTTTTTTTTTGGTGTTTTTTTTTTTTCTTCCAACGAGGCGTTCGCATGGCGCACCCGACACTCCGAATCGGGCACATCACTCACACGTTTTCCCCGGGCGGTAGCTAGCTTTGTCTTTTCCATGCAGAAGCAGCTGCATAGGGAGCTCCACCGGAGGCCCTTGTGGCTGCGTTCGCATGGCACGCCCTTCACACGTTTTGCGGCCCCAGGGGGAGCTCCACCGAAGGCCCCACTGGCTGCGTTCGCATGGCGTGCCCGCCCCCGAATCAGCGCACCTCTCGCACGCTTCGTGGCCCCATGGGGAGCTCCGCCGAAGGCCGCATTGGCTGTTCGCATGGCGGCACACCCCTCACACGTTTCGTGGCTCCATGGAGAGTTGCCCCTCTTTCGTCCCACCTGCCTTGCGGCACGCGCCATCGTCATCGTCATCGTCATCATCGCCATTCATCGTCATCGTCATCATCGTCATCGCCTCCGTAGCCATTTTGGCTCAAGCCGTTTGTACCGAGCTCCCGCAGCTCGGGCAGGCAGGCTTTCGGGGAGGCAGATCGCCTGGTGACTCCCGGACGAAAACAGCCAGCAGAGCCGTACGAAGATGGCGGCCGTGGAAGCCAAGTGGGATGTGAAGCAGATGGAGTCCGGAGACAAGGCGTGGTCGCAGCGGACCGGCCCAGAGAAGGTCCTTTTCGTGATTATCCAGGTGTTGAAGGTGGTGATGGCGGTGGGGCTTCTCTACATCTTCCTCATCTCCCTGAGCATGATGGGCAACGCGTTCAAGGTCATCGGAGGCCCCACCGCTGGGAAAGTCTTCCGGAACAACGCCATCTTCGACAACCCGTTCGCGGGCTGCTCCCTCGGGATCCTAGCGACGGTGCTAGTGCAGTCCTCGTCGACCAGTACCTCCATCATCATCACGATGACTGCGGCAGGCCTGATCGATCCCAAGAACGCCATTTACATGATCATGGGGGCGAACATCGGCACATCTGTCACCAATACAATCGTCAGCATGTCCCACATGGGCGACGTGGACCAGTACCGCCGGGCGTTCGCGGGCGCAACGGTGCACGACTGCTTCAATATGTTGACAGTGACCATCCTGCTCCCGCTCGAGTACTTCACTCACATGCTCTACCACATTGGCAGCGCCCTCGTCGAGTCCGCCGGCATCGAGGAGGACCAGGAAAAGCAGGAGAAGGTCGACTTCATCAAGAAGCTCACGAAGCCGGTCACCTCTCGCCTGATCTCTGTGGACAAGAAGCTGGTGACCAAGGTCGCGCAGGCGGACGACCAGGAGACGCTTGACGGCCTGCTGGCACAGTCGATCATCCAGAACAAGCGTACCCTTGACAACCATATGTTCCTGGACACCCCCCTGAGCGACGAGGGGGCTGGGTGGCTGCTGCTGGTCATCTCCCTGGTGATGCTGTCCACCACGCTTATCCTCCTGGTCAAGTTGCTGCAGACGATCTTCAGGGGCCGTGCCGCGATTTGGATGCAGGGGCTGCTGAACCTGGAGTTCAAGACGGTGCCCTTTGTGGCCGACTACATCCTCATCCTCTTCGGTGTGGGCATCACCATCCTCATGCAGAGCAGCAGCATAACAACCTCGACGCTGACGCCGCTCGTCGGAATCGGGCTCATCAAGCTCGACAAGATGTTCCCGTTCACCGTCGGCGCGAACGTGGGCACCACCGTCACGGGCATGCTGTCTGCACTGGCGGGCTCGAACGTCGCCACCGGCATGACGGTGGCGTTCGCGCACCTGTTCTTCAACCTCATCGGAGCGCTCATTTGGTTCCCGATCCCTGCCATGCGCGCCGTGCCGCTCACCATGGCCAGGGCACTGGGTAGCGTGGCCGCCGACCTGCGCTGGTTCCCTGTCGCCTACATCTTCGTCGTCTTCGGGATCATTCCCGGCCTGCTCCTGGGGCTGTCCCTGATGCACTGGGCGGCGCTCGTGTTCGTGGGCCTTCCGATCCTGCTCCTGCTGATCGCTGGCTCTTGCGTCTTCGGCATGCGCGCCTACCACCCGGAGCGGCTGCCTGCGGTGCTCAAGAAGGACTTCTCGTTCATGCCGCCCAGCATGAAGATGGCCGCCGCGGACGGCGAGGAGTCCGCCGCGGTGGAGGAGTCGAACATCGGCAGTACCGACATCGGTGGCGCGAGGCAGTGGTGGCTGGCGCCCTGTGCCTACGGGCTCGGCTGGTACTCGATCCTGGTAATGCTGATGGCGGTGCCGAACGCCAAGTGGTCCGACATGAAGTACGCGTCCTTCGACGCCCGGGACCACGTCGGCATCGGCGCCTGGAGCGCGTGCTCCGCCATGTTCGCGGAGGAGGTGGGCTGGCTTTGGCTTTCCGGAGCTCTCCACGGGCGCGGGACCTCGTATTTGCGCACTCGCGACGTGCATGGATGACTCAGTCCGCCTGCGACGACCCAGAGCGATTCTCCACCCGTTCCTGGCGCCAACACGTCTACGAGGAGTCGTGGCAGGGTTGCACCCCCGGACCGCCCACACGACGGGGGACTGGCTGAGTGAGTTGCGGAGGCGCTGATGGGTGCGGCGACAGCCACGCGACCGCAGGCGCCAACGTGTCCGCCGCGGTTCTCCCGAACGTACAACAGCGGGGGGACTACAGCCAGTCTGGCCACCAAGGTGGGCCGCGGCCCAGCGTCGTCCACCGTCCTGCAGCGCGGAAAGCCCCACGACGAGCCTGTTTGCATCCCGCTCGGCGACCTCTGCAACGGACGTCGGCGGCCTCCGGGCCGCGGGCGGCCTGAGCGTGGCCGGGATCGTCTTCTCCATTTTGGGGATGGCGGCGATGCTCGCCTACCTCGCCAGGGGGGACAAGCGGGACATGCGCAAGGTACTCTGGGGCACCGCCGCCGCCTTCGGCGTGGCTTGGGTCCTCTTGCTCGCTGCGTGGACCATCGGCCTGAGCGCGCTGGGGCAGGAGACGACGTGCTGGGTCCAGGACGACCAGAACGACGGCATCGTGGCGGCCAAGGGCAAGCTCGGGGACATCGGGAACGGCGTCGGCTACGGGCTCGGCTACATCATCGGGGGCTGGGTCCTGCTCAACCCAATCCTCGCGATCACGGCGCTCCGCATCGTGGCCGACGTGAAGGCTGGCCCCCCGCAGAAGGAAGAGGCGAGCGAGGACGATGCGGCCAAGGTCTCGACCATCTGAGCACGTGACGGCGCGGATGATCCGTCGTGCGATCCCGCCTCCACCAGCCCGCGCCTCTCTCTCTCTCTCTCTCTTTTTCTCTCTCTTTCTCTCTGGAGGAGTTGCCCTACTTCCAGCCCCCATGTTCACGCCCTGCCTGCTGTGCCAGGGATTTTTGCACCCAGAATGTCCGCAGGATGTCTCAATAGATGCTGTCTTCTCAAGTCTCGAAATTTGTCGTAACACTCAGCGCCCTCGCGCTGCCCCCCCGGACACCGCGGGGGGGCGCTCGCGTGCCATTTTTGCACCCGCAGCGCGACAGCGTCGCTCGCAGCCGCCCAGGCTAGGGATGGAGGGGCTCCCCCGCATCTGCAGGCCACGAGCCCGGATCCTGGGGCGGAGCGGCGCTTGCACAATACGGCAATCGCTCGCCATTCGAGACAATGCAGTGACAATACGACAATACAATGACAATACGACGGTCGCTTGTACAATACGACGATACAGTGGCGCTGTCGTAATGATGCGGGAGGCTTGGCCTGGTGCCGCACCCTCACACCGTGGCCGCCAAGCCATGTCTCTCCAGCGCAAGTGCTTCAGTTTCGTGTTCGCGTTCGCCGTGCGCCCAAGGCGGCTGCGATTCGCAATGATCGAGCAAGTTAGGTATCACGGCCCCTGGAGTGCGCTTGTACAGTGATCTGCCAGGTCGCTGGCCTGCAGGAGGAGGACCAGCAGCTGCGCCCCCCCCCGGCGTTTCCGCCTCCGTCGTCATGGTGCTGCCGCTTCGTCGCCGCCGTCTCGTCGCGTCGTCGCAGTTGCGGCCGCGGCCGCCGGCGTTGCCGCCGTCGGGTCGCGCGCCACCGCCATGAAGTGCCGCCGTGCTTGTCGCCACCGTAGTCCGCCGGCGCCCCATTCGTCGTCGTCGTCGTCGTGCCCAGCCGGCAAGAGCCGCCCAGAACCAGACCCCATGCCCATCCCGGGGTGTTCTCCTGCCAGCGGCTCGAGCTGGGTTTTTGGTCCACTGGAACGCGTATGTGTAATCCCCTGGCGATAACAGGCGTGACCAGGGGGGGAGCGAGGGAGGGGGGAGGAGCGTGTCACGTCGCGATTCGCGCAGGGGCCGTGTGAGAATGCTGCAGAATGGCGAAGTCTCAGACGGCGCACGAATCGTAATGTGACCAGGAAGGGGGGAGGGGTGCAGGCGGGGCTGTTCAAGGGCGTTATCACAAACTGCTGCCAACAATCCTGTGGTGTTGGATCCTCGTCTTGAAATGACAGCGCACCGCGTCCTTCAACCCTCCGCCTCTCCTCCCCCGGCTCCTACCATCCCTGCCTCTGCCCCCTCCGCGTGCCCATTCCAGCACACCCCTCACATTCTTCGTGAACCCATGAGGGAGCCCCAACTAAGGCCCAAATGCCAGCGCTCGCATGGCGTACCCGCACCCGATTCGGCATACCCTTCACACGCTTCGTGGCCTCATAGGGAGCTCCAACAAAGGCGTTCGCATGGAGCACCCGCACCCGAATCGGCACGTCACTCACACGCTTCGCGGCCGCATAGGGAGCTTCCTCGGAGGCCCTTGTGGCTGCGTTCGCATGGCGTACCCACATCTAATTCAGCACACCCTTCACACGTTTTGCGGCCCCAGAGGGAGCTCCACCGAAGGCCTCACTAGCTGCGTTCGCGTGGCGTGCCCGCCCCCGAATCAGCACACCTCTCGCACGCTTCTTCGTGGCCCCATAGGGAGCTCCGCCGAAGGCCGCATTGGCTGCGTTCGCATGGCGGCACACCCCTCACACGTTTCGTGGCTCCATGGAGAGTTGCCCCCTTTCGGGCCCACCTCGCCTTGCGGCACGCGCCATCGTCAATCGTCATCGTTCTCCCATCGTCAGTGTCATCGCATCGTCATCATCGTCACGCTCCGTAAGCATTTTGGCTCAAGCCGTTTTTATTGACCTCCCGCAGCTCCGGCAGGCAGGCCTTCGGGGAGGCAGATCTCCGCGTTACTCCCGGACGAAGACAGCTAGCAGAGTCGCATAAAGATGGCGGCCGTGGAGGCCAAGTGGGACGTGAAGCAGATGGAGTCCAGAGACAAGGCGTGGTCGCAGCGGACGGGCCCAGAGAAGGTCCTTTTCGTGATCATCCAGGTGCTGAAGGTGGTGATGGCGGTGGGGCTTCTCTACATCTTCCTCATCTCCCTGAGCATGATGGGCAACGCGTTCAAGGTCATCGGAGGCCCCACCGCCGGAAAAGTCTTCCGGAACAACGCCATCTTCGACAACCCGTTCGCGGGCTGCTCCCTCGGGATCCTGGCGACGGTGCTGGTGCAGTCCTCGTCGACCAGCACCTCCATCATCATTACGATGACTGCGGCAGGCCTGATCGATCCCAAGAACGCCATTTACATGATCATGGGGGCGAACATCGGCACATCTGTCACAAACACAATCGTCAGCATGTCCCACATGGGCGACGTGGACCAGTACCGCCGGGCGTTCGCGGGCGCAACGGTGCATGACTGCTTCAACTTGTTGACAGTAACCATCCTACTCCCGCTCGAGTACTTCACTCACATGCTCTACCACATCGGCAGCGCCCTCGTCGAGTCCGCCGGCATCGAGGAGGACCAGGAAAAGCAGGAGAAGGTCGACTTCATCAAGAAGCTCACGAAGCCGGTCACCTCTCGCCTGATCTCTGTGGACAAGAAGCTGGTGACCAAGGTCGCGCAGGCGGACGACCAGGAGACGCTTGACGGCCTGCTGGCACAGTCGATCATCCAGAACAAGCGTACCCTTGACAACCATATGTTCCTGGACACCCCCCTGAGCGACGAGGGGGCTGGGTGGCTGCTGCTGGTCATCTCCCTGGTGATGCTGTCCACCACGCTTATCCTCCTGGTCAAGTGCTGCAGCCGATCTTCCGGGGGCCGCGCCGCGATTGGACATTGGATGCAGGGGTTGCTGAACGGAGTTCAGACGGTGCCCTTTGTGCGCCGACTACATCCTCATCCTCTTTCGGTGTGGGCATCACCCATCCCATGAGAGCAGAGATAAACAACCTCGACGCTGATGCCGCTCGTCGGAATCGGGCTCATCAAGCTCGACAAGATGTTCCCGTTCACCGTCGGCGCGAACGTGGGCACCACCGTCACGGGCATGCTGTCTGCGCTGGCGGGCTCGAACGTCGCGACCGGCATGACGGTGGCGTTTGCGCACTTGTTCTTCAACCTCATCGGAGCGCTCATTTGGTTCCCGATCCCTGCCATGCGCGCCGTTCCGCTCACCATGGCCAGGGCATTGGGTAGCGTGGCCGCCGACCTGCGCTGGTTTCCTGTCGCCTACATATTCGTCGTCTTCGGGATCATTCCGGGCCTGCTCCTGGGGCTGTCCCTGATGCACTGGGCGGCGCTCGTGTTCGTGGGCCTTCCGATCCTGCTCCTGCTGATCGCTGGCTCTTGCGTCTTCGGCATGCGCGCCTACCACCCAGAGCGGCTGCCTGCGGCGCTCAAGAAGGACTTCTCGTTCATGCCGCCCAGCATGAAGATGGCCACCGCGGACGGCGAGGGTCAGTCCGCCGCGGTGGAGGAGTCGAACATCGGCAGTACCGACATCGGTGGCGCGAGGCAGTGGTGGCTGGCGCCCTGTGCCTACGGGCTCGGCTGGTACTCGATCCTGGTAATGCTGATGGCGGTGCCGAACGCCAAGTGGTCCGACATGAAGTACGCGTCCTTCGACGCCCGGGACCACGTCGGCATTGGCGCCTGGAGCGCGTGCTCCGCCATGTTCGCGGAGGAGGTGGCCTGGGCTCCGAGCCCTCTCACGGGCGCGGACCTCGATGCGCACCTCGCGACGTGCATGGCTGACCTCAGCTCCGCCTGCGCCGACCAGAGCGACTTCTCCACCGTCCTGGGCGCCAACACCGTCTACGAGGAGTCGTGGCAGGGGTGCACGGACGCCACGACGGGGGACTGGCTGAGTGAGTGCGAGGCGCTGACTGGGTGCGGCGACCTGCACGCGACGCAGTGCGCCAACGTGTCCGCCGCGGTCTCCCGAACGTA